GTTCATTTAATTTCTTACCCGATTCTCAACCGATTTCAACAATTCGCACCTCAATATTTATAATGTCGTATAAGACATATATTATTACGTTGTGATAATGTCACTTCATCCCTCATGTCCCAAATATGTGAATTACCTATCTAGGGTTTAAGGTGACCTCGATTAGCCGAATAGAAAGCTTGAACCTTCGTTGATACAAATTTTCGGCCTTTCAAATATTACATTACTTTACCAAGCCAATCTCCAACATTTAGTTAATCTAACTTTCTATCATAGCTCAATATAAAATTCACCACCTAGATCGAAGAGTCGAAGGTTATCATCATGTAAAGATTTTAAAGCCTTGATGATCAAATGCATCATTTTAAGAGAAGGCAATCAGGAAATTGATACAAATGACAATGTAATTAGCATGAAATGCATGAATCATATTGGCCAAATGTAGAACGTGAAGTTCGGGGTATTACATTGTGATTGTTGAATTGAACAAATAAGTTGGATGTGGCGATGGTGGCAGGGAGTTGTCACGTCAATCGTTCAATAGATCTATTCAGAAGATCTTCTGCCAGGCTCTTCCTTTAAAAGAATTCTTTAGCCTCTCCCCAGTTTGAGAGGTTTAGCCTCAAGAGTTTGGCTATAACACGGGCTCAAATATAGAATGGATTCGGCCACAACATAGGTTCTTCTATGGGGTTCAGCCATAAGGTTTTACCACCTGGCTCACATACGTGGGTTCTGCCCTTGTGGGCCAGCTGCCACATGGGGCCTTGTTGAAAAGGCATAACAGTTTCTGTTGATCACAATCAATTTAAGCATCTTGATATGTTTTTAATTTTTATTTTTACACAAAATTGCATATTTGATAAAAATATATTTATATTCATCTTCACTTCCTAAAGTTTTCTCAAAAAATAGAAAACAAAAAAGGAAAAGAACGTAATAAACATAAAGCTATAAAACAATTTACGAAACTTTGACAATTGCTAAATTGCAAAGCAATATAAAAATATAACCTCAACTTAAAATAAATAAGAACTTCATTTTAAGCAGTAAAATAATAGGTAATATTAAAAATTTGAAGAAAAAGAATTTGCCCCATTGTTTACATCTATTTGCAACAGAAAAATCTACAGTGGGAAGCATCGAATAGTATAATATGCAAGGAAGCGGAAATAAGGACGTCAATTGCAACATTTCTCTTAGGACCGAAGCTCCACCCAAGTTGGTGGATCCGGAACATCCTCACCTTTATGTTCCTTTCAACTTCCATAATTTTGCTGATAAAATGACAAATGTCATCTCGATTTATACAATTTTGAATGCATCGATTCGACTTTATGACACAGAACATCCCAACGACACTTGAGAACATAAATTGACTCTTTGATTCCAAAATTGAAAATAATTATCTTGACATTTGAAGAATGTGTGTAATACAATTGATGCATGCATTGAACATATCGACTCCAAATGAGATCTAAATAGTCATTCGAGAACAAATGATGACTCAGTTATCCATTCATTATATTAAACCTAATTTGAAATATTACTCAAAATTACCAAAGAGGCAAGGAAATATTTCAACGATTATGTGTACTACTTGTCATGACTTATAGACTGTCAAACACATCCAAATCTTGGCATTGGATGCCTTAAATCTTTACATTTGTCCCTCTTTTTTTGACTTTCGACCATTAGACTCATTCGGTTAATCTTGTCTTTGGGTACTTAGTTTTGTTGTTATGATATTTTTCACCGCCTTTTATGATCATTGTTTATAACACCCATACGTTAATCAAGCTAGGCATTTAGTACATATTTGACACGAAAAGGTTGTATGATATTGAATTATAATATAAATAAAAAAAAATTAAAACATCTTATTCGTAGTTTTAACTAGTCCCTGTCCCATATGAAAATATGAACCTAAAATATTATCAAGCTTAGGCCTTTGACCTTTGGCATTAACTTGATTACCTAATTTAGCCTCACTTAATAGTATATTATTATCTTCCATCCAAAACTCTAAATAGAAAAATAATCAACTTACTATTTACTTACCAAAATTTTCATCTAAGTTTAATTTGGAAGAAAAATCCGACCTGTTCCATGTTCAGCGTCTAAATTGAAGGATAGAAAACAAATATTGCAGTAATATAATCTTTTAGTTTATTATTATATTTTATGTCCAAATTGAAATAGCTAAATATATTGAGGACTTAAACAAAATAAAGAGTTCATTAAAATAATGATCACTAAACTTTGAAAATTGTTTCAACTACACCTATGCTAGTCTTTTCTCCACTTTTGAAGTTCAGTGATAGCGTACATGAAACATATTTAGGGTTCAAGAAACTTTAAATTGTTTTTCTTGCAAATAATTTTAAAATTTATTTCAGTTACACCATTTGTCAACTATATATTGGACTCACCACTAAGAAAAATTGTAATATATTATCATTACACGATAGACAAAAGAATCTCAATCTAATAAAGAATGCATGTAAAAAATAATGCCTAAATGTTCACTCAAATGAGATATAAACTAAATACATTGTGTGGTCATCGCTCTAAAATCAACAAACTCTTTAAATGTAAAAAATGGCATTCGCTTGTCTATCGAGTGATTAGTGACAAATCATCTTCATCACACTTTACATTTTAGATCAACGAGCCAATTTGGGGCTAATAGTATCAATTCTGTACGAGTTAAACCATCATCGTGAAATGTTAATGGCAGGTAAGCAGTTATGCTAATACAATAAAAAAGATAATTTTACTAATGGTCTATGAGGTTCAAGTAAAGTATCGAATTGGTAATTAAAATATTTTTGTAACGTCTTTCGTCACTAAAACTAAATAGCGTCACATAATTCGTCACGTCTTTAGCAAAATTAATATCGTATTCAGCGTAGTAGCTATTAAATCTTCATTTAGACTAATGGATGTTTAAGCAATCGATCTTTTCTAGTTAGTATTGTGTTAAATGATAAAAATAAAAAAATAAAAAAATAAAGAAAAATAGAACTTAGTGTTAACAGATAAAATTATAATATTTTTGGCTGAACTCCTTTTCTCTCAAAAATCAAATTATATTTTGAAGATTTGTAATTTTATGAATAAAATAATCGTTAATCAATGTCAAGATTTAAGCCCATGTGTATCAAGAGATTAATTATATAACATTATTGAGCTTGAGTGACCGTCAGTGAAATTAACTCATAAATAAAACAATTTAAAGTTATTGTTCCAGTGGTTACTGAACTTATATTTATATCTTTGATTGCTTATTGAATTTGAAAATGTTGAGTTTTAACTATTGGACTTTGAAAAACGTTGTACATTTCTCAATGATATAACTTAAATATCAAATTTCGAACGACATTGATGACGTGGCTGATGGAATACACGTTCGAATCTTGGCAACTGAACTTTGAAAAACATCTTCTATTGCTCACTATAAATTTGGATTTAACCAAACCTCTATTTATCTCCCTTTAAAACAAAATTCTTTAATTTTCATACTAATTTTTAATTCCACATTTATGAAATAAAATATTTTACAAAAACGGAAATTTTTATCAAACTTTTGAACCACACATTCTCCAAAAAATCAATATTTAAAACTCTTTTTTTTTTTTAATAATGGCTATCAAACAGGGGCTTAATTCTTTGTTAAAATTCGAATTTAATTTCATTTTAACAATAAATATATTGTGTGTTTCATTGCAATTGATAGTCACTCCCTTCATATAGCTCTTCAAGTATTGTCTAGGAATGGTTACTTAATTATGCAGTAGTTAAATTTAATTTTAATTTATTTTGTAGAAATTTTAAGCTAAAATCATCATAATATTTGAATTTTAGAACAAAACACGCAATGAATTTGTTGTTAAATAAAATTTCAAATCTAAGCAACGAATTTAATTAAATCCAAATTTATTGTGAGCAATAAAAATCGTTTTGCAAAGCTGTGTAAAAGGAAGCGACCACTAATTACAATGAAATGCACAATATATTTATTGTTAAAATTAAATTAAATTTGAATTTCAGCCCTTGATTGATGGCCATTATTATTATTTTAAAAGAGTTTTAAATAGTGATTTTTCGGAAAATGGAGGGTTGAAAAGTTGGAAAAATTTTCTGTTTTTGAGTAAAATATTTTATTCTGTAAACGGGTAATTAAAATTTAATATGAAAATTAAAGAGTTTTGTTTTAAAGGAAGATAAACAAAGGTTTGATTAAATTCAAATTTATAGTGCGTAATGGAAGACGTTTTCAAAGTTTAGTGGCCAAAGTTCTATTATATCAAAGTTTAGTGACCAAAATTTGACATATTCAAAGTTTAGTGAGTAATAAAAGATTTTTTTCAAAGTTTAATGAACAAAATTCGACTATCTCAAAGTTTAAAGGTGTGACAGGGCGCTATATGTGAATTCTGTCAATCACGTCATTAGCACTGTTAGAGGTTTGAGACGGAAGTTATGCGTGTGGATAATGTATAATGTCTTCAAAAAACTCGATATTTTAAACTCTAATGAAAATAAAAAATATGGATATAAGTTTTGTGGCCATTAGAACAATTAACTCATTTGATCATGGTCAAGATTCTTTTTTTTTTTTTTTTTTTTTTTTTTTGGGGTTTTTTTTTTTTTTTCCCCCC